TTTGTAAGCCTCATTCATATCCCCCATAAGCCATTTTATACTTTCAGTCATACTTATTGTGATCCAGTTTGAACAAATCCAAAACGGGTAGGGGCATAGTCTGCTCTTATCCTCATTGCTCTGCACAACTCAGTAACAGCAGCAGACTTTCTTACCAAAGTTTCTATTGTAACAGTCCTCAGAAACCTAGACATTTTAGTAGTGGGACAAAAAAATCTTAAGCTTACAGACAGCTGAACCGATTATAAATCCCACCAAATGAAAAGTGAGACCAAATTAAAAAAAAAAGAAAAGCGTTAATATGAGAAAAAAAAGATATAGAAGTTACTTTAAAGTTTATGTATGAAATAACTTCTATTCTAGCAATATTCTATAAAAGTCATAGTACAGAGGAGTATGTGTTACATTCCTGAGAACTCCTATTAAATTGCAATTTGCCAAAATGACTGAGTGTATTGCTGTGTATAGAAATATATAGAAATACACTTCATATGAAAAGCTCTTAGAAGCTCATGGTGCAAAGAAAATACGAAATTAACTATGTCATGAGGAATTTTTAGTCTCCTGTTTAGATTTACTGGCCTGAATTTAGGAAAATCAAATCACTGAAGTTAACACAAAAAGCAGACATAACTGAAACCTATTGGACATCCTATGCGGGCCATTCAGCCCCTGGTAGTTCATACAAAAGTTCAAGCAAAACTTTTTAGAGGCTTGGAGCTGCAGCTGTCCCTCTTGGGGACACACTTGCAGGAAGAAAAGTAATGGCTCCAGCCTTCTAAGTTAGGCACAAAACCATTATTTCATGCTGAGACTTCATGGAGCAGTGGCAGAGGCACCAAGTAAAGCAGTTCTGGTCCATTTGAATTGCTACCCACTGGGGCTTGTTAAGCTATGCTTGGTGATGGCCAGGAAGGGGTTCTTTAACAGTATGAAGTGCAGTGTGAGCCAGATGGTCTAACTTCTTTTTTCCCAACAAAACATTAAACTGCTCTGAAACACAAAGTGCATGGCTCAAGAACAGCCAAGTCATTGGAAGCAGAAGCATGTGGAAACCACCCAGCTGTAGAACTGTAGTCAGCAAGCCAACGAAGGCAGTGCCAAATTAGGAAGGTAGCAGCATTATCAGACTTCCCAGCTCACACTGTCAATACCAGATTTGCCTTGGCTCATCATTCAAGTTTCTTTTTCTTCCAAGAAATTCTAGATCTCTTCTGAAGGCTATTGCTTCATTATATGGCTTTATTAAGTCCAACCATCAACCAGACACTAGTAAGTCCACTGCTAAACCATGTCCCTAAGTACCACATCCACACATCTCTTAAATACCTCCAGGGAAGGTGACTCCACCACTTTCCTGGGAAGTCTGTTCCTATGCCTAATCACCCTTTCCATGAAGAAACTCTTATTGATATCCAATGTAAACCTCCTCTGGTGCAACTCGAGGCTGCTTCTTCATGTCCCATCACTTGTCACCTCAGAAAAGAAAAGCAACCTTCTTGCTGCAGCCTCCTTTCAGGTTGCTGTAGAGAAATAAGGTCTCCCCTCAACCCCCTTTCCTCCAGTGTAAACAAACCTAGTACTGTAAATCATTGAGTAATAAAACTTTGTTTCAGTATTCATAGATTTTAACTGTTGTTGTGATGTTAATCAGGTAGACAGAACATTTGCTTGTAAAATATTATTTTCCAGTCACAGAATACTAAAATGTTTAATAATAAGCTTACTACTTTAATATGTAATATTTCTCATCTTTTCTGATCTTGAGCTCAATGCCCAGTCTAAAACTTGTATCCTGAAGAAATATTTTGTTTGCAAGAAAGTCAGCCCAGTATGAGGATTTGAAACCCAAAACGTGAGCTAAACATTGAAGGCAAATATAAGTTATAGACTAGATGAAATTTAAAAAATAAAAATCAGGTTACTAAGTGCATGTTTGCATGATCTAAAGTCACCTGATTAGCAATAGCATAAAAAGCGTAATCTGTAATCATGAAATTGTGCATATATACAAACAAATATATGTGGAGTCACTGCTGTCAGAGACCACTAATACCATATAATGGCACTGTTGTGTACATACTGAACCTATTCACCTTCCTGCACCACCAATTCAGAGTGGCTCATTCTTTTTAAATAATTCTGTGAAAGAATGCTCAGGTATGTTTGTTGTCTGAATATAAAATCTTTTTTAAACATTCTCGTCTCATAAGCAAGACACTGAGATGAAATCATTTGCGCTAGAGTATGTCAGCTAAACTATAAGTCGTGTGTCAGTGCCCTTCTGACAACACTGATGGCAATGGGGTTCACGTTTTCTATCTAAGAATTTCACCGTTGAGGGTATTTTCTATTGGCTCTTTAATGCTTTTGACCTGGTAACTGGCAGTACTTTGGCCTTACTGAAGAAAGACAGCCTACTAGTCACTAACTCAAAAATGTCTCAAAAGAAAGGATCCTCATGAACACAGTTTGGAATCTTCTTTTACAGTACAGATGACTCCAGGTACTAATACTGCGAGATTCAAGTACGTAGAAGATACCTCAAGTGTAAGCACAAAGTCACCACACAAAACTCAGCCCTCAAGAAGTTAAACAAGATAGCATTAAAGAAAATTAAGGCTGAAGGAAATAATACCTAACATTTTGAAAAAGAAGTAACTTGAGTCACACTTTAAACTGATTTGAACTGAGTGATGGAGAACATATGCAGCAGTCATAAATGGCAACAATGCTGCCATTACCATGCTGTACTACAGCAACAAATGAGCTGAAGTTACTAAGACAAAACTTGACATTGATAAGGTCTGTATATAACAAACAAAATGAAGGAAAAAACGTGCCCCTAGCCATGTCTGCTTAACACCACTGAAGGCACCATAAAATGAGAAAAAGGAGATAAAATGAAATATTTTATACTAACTGTAAGCATTTCGATACAGCATCCAAATTACAATACTTTTAGCATCTTGATAAGTAATAGTTTTCAGAAGATAATTCTAAGGAAGTCAGCTGGGTGCCCTAGTCCTTTTCTGAGGACTGTCACTGATTAAAAGGAGAAACCCACTTTTTTAATCCACTGTCTAAATTAGCTGCCTGAAGTTGAACATCATTCAGATACTCCATTTTCCACTACAGTACACATGAAACTAATGTGGTGAATTTAAAATGTTAAGATCAGCTAACAAAACTTTAGGCAGCACTTCGGTGATGTTTCTAGCTAAGGCACTGCCTCAATTTCTATTTCAGTAAATAAATCTTGCCACATTTTCCCCCTCAGAAAAAGCAGCGCTAATTTTTCACAAACATGTTCTGAATTTATTTGTACTGTGTATCACCTACTGAAGAACTGAAATTAGCCACATAAATTTAAACACTTGTGTTCATTACTGTCATTTATTCTCTCAGTATTGTATCATCTAAAACAAAACTGTTGATTTTTTTTTTTTAAATCTACTTAGGAAAACATAATTCTCAGTTAAAAAAAAAAAAAAAGATTGTGATTTTTGAGACACGAGGCAGAAACATCCATGTTTTATTATTGCACAAATCATTCCCTACAAGCGACATATGCTATGATCCTAAAATTAAATTTTAATTTTCTGCTACCTCAGGACATAAGCTATTCGAAGTCTATATATATTGTGACAATGCATCAATTTTCTAGTGTCCACATTAAGTTTTTTTTTTATTATTATTATTATTCAGTTCTACTACAAAACCCTTTGTTATAACAAAAAGGTATTAAGATGTATGCATAACCTGGAATGCTTGGATTTAGTAAAGAGTTACAACATTTCATTTAAATGCCAACAACAAATGTAGTGTAAAAAAAGATAATTTTTGAAAATTTTTAAACTGGTTCCATTTGAACAACCTTATACCAGAATAAATCATTGAAAATTCTGATTAAAATTTAGATGGAATATAACAATGTAAGTGAATCTAAGAAAGATGAATTTCATTTAAGTGAAATATTTTGTTTAAAGGTTGGACTTGATGTCTTAGAGGTCTTTTCCAACCTACATGATTCTATGATTCTATTAGTCTATGATTTTCATTAGACTTCTTTCTGTGGTGAAAGTAGCCAATGCTCATGCAAATTTTTGTTCTACTGAGTAGTTCAGGTTTTCTGTTACTGAGAATGCAACTATATCCTCCGCTTATAAAAATATTAACAAAATAGGCCAGCCTTTAAAAAGAATATAAATTAATTCAACCCCTAGGTAGAGTCATTAAAAATTGCATTATTCAAAACTGTTTTTTTCCAAAAGCCATCTGTCTGTTTTAACCAGTAACAGCACACTACAAATGTGCCCAAAAACTCAAACATACTTAATCAAGGTCCGTATTGGCACAGTTCCAGGAAACCACAAGGTGTGCTCAAAATACACAAAAACAGAGCAAGTTGCAATTCAGTATGATAAGCTGTTTCATACAAAGGTAAATCTCTCAACATTCAGGCTGGCATCTCTCAGAATTCAATAGATGGAAAGGCAGCTTAACTTGCACGCTTTGGCAAATACACAACTAAACTTGATTGTCCAAATTCAAAGTGAGCAAGGCCCGTTTAGCCATGATTTAGCTGCCAGTCTACCTATTCATCAACTTCAACACCAAATACAGGTCCTCCAGCCTTACCAAACCCCTCTGAATCTTAAATTCTGTTTTTGCTGCAAGAGAGATTAATGTGCTTTGGGATTTGGGACTGTAAGTACATTCAGAAGAATGTGGTCAACTGCCACATCTGTAGAAATTGCTATGGTTTGATCCCAACAAGAAATCTGGTTTATTCGGATTAAAAAGGGTGTTCATAGATAGCACTAAGTACAAATACAAAGGAAAAAAAAATCCCTAAGATGTCTCTGGAGTAACATACTTATGATATTACCTTCCTGAGTCATTTAATTGTTGTACATTCAATGCAGCTTCTATAATACTTTAAATGAACTGCTTGAAAACACGTAACCAATAGCAGTGTTTTGTACAGCCGCACTTACCTTTAAAAAAGCAATCTTCATTGTGGACAATGGTGACCTTTTGCTTTTTCAGGCAGGCAGCGCGATGCACTTCACAATGATTTTCGTAGAACTCTCCATCAGAGCCACACACCGGCTTATAATGCAGCTTGCAGCGCTCCATGCAGACACACTCAGCCTGGCCGCTCTCCCCGTTCACAACGCAGTGTCTACCCAGACCGCAGTACTTGTTTTCACACGATCCCAAGTGCCCATCTTGACCCATGTACCCTGAAAAAGCAAATTGTAATAGAAGATCTATCAAATCACATGCAAAGAATCTGACAAAATCAAATACATATTTTGCCCACAGGCCTTCTTTTTAAGCGCTCTAAGGCTCTTATTAATATTTACAAGTCCTCACAGTAAGAATTGTTTTATGGACCTTACAGGTCAGAAAAATGCAAGGCAAAAAAAAAAAAAAAAACTCTTCAATCCATACAATAAATTGTATTGTGTTATAACAGTGCTGTTTTATTAAGCTGCCTCAGTTTTACCAACAGAGTGTTTTCTGAATCTTTTAAGAAAGTACTTACTAAGCAAAGTTCTTGTTCAAAAGCCAGAATAATTATTAGTGGAATTCAGCATATACTCTTCGGTACATGGACAGATGAGTGTAAGACAGAAAGCAACAAAAGCAAACAAACAAACAAAAAACAACAACAACAAAAAAAAAACACAGAGGCAGGGGGAAGACATAAATAAATAAACACCACACACAGACACACACACAGGTAAACAAAAACATACATAGATGCACAGATGTGAGTGGAAGTGAAATAAGACAAGTCATTATTATTAACGAAAAGTCTAGCAAAACCTCTCCTCTAGCTACAGAGGATTCCTAATAGCACAAGATTTACTTAAATAAAAAAGTCATATGAATGAAGGTAATTTAATGGTACTGGAGGGACAATGACAATGCATCACTGCAATGTAAGAAGAAACAACAATATCAGCAAAGCAAAGAGACAGTGCTTTTAAGTGTACTGCGACCATCAAGTCTGTCAGCAGTAATTTTCCATTCTGGTACTACTTTTTTTCAAGAAGCTGGTATCGCTGATACAGTGACCATACATAACTGCATTTTGGATTTGTGAAGTTAGCACTTCTAGAATGAATTCGAAATTTATTCATTTTCTCATAATTAATGGCCTGCTTTAGGTCATTTGCAAGTACAAAAAAATGTAACTAATATTTCAAAGCTACATAGAATCTGTATATTTTAATTGTATGCAAGATCCAGTAAGATATTCGTATTATATAATGGAAGTGGGTTCTTTTTTTATTTTTTTTACAACCATACTTTTAGTCATTGTCATGTGTTCAATTAACTGTAATTAAAAGCATCATCTAATAACAAGAAGGGCAGGTACAATGAAAAAATAAAATGAAATTCCCACTTGCAGTTACTAATGCCTCAATCATGCAGGAGGCCTGAGACCATAATTGTATCATCAAATAAGTATAAAATACTAAAATATCACCAAATGTGGGACTAGACATAGCCCTTCACAATTACCTCATTTTATTCTCTTGCTGTACACTCCTAATCAAATCAACAACTCCTAAAATCAATCCACAAATACTATATACTCCTCGTAATCTCACTCCTTGTGATTCCTTCCCTATTCTCATAGCCAAGCTGAAAAGTACTTGGCTGCCCCATAGGAAAAAATATGAACAAACAAATGGCTATGCATAATTTAGTAGTTTTAGATTTATTTTCTTTAGTGAAGAGCTAATGAGCTAAATGAGTAAATACTCCAGCTTGGCACACATTTCTCCTAACCACTGAGAATCTATGTTCTCCACTTCAGTGGCAGAAGTCAATTCTCACCACTTTTTCTGCTTAAGCATATGGGATTATTAGAACCAAGACAAAAGTGCATTGGTTCTTTTATTTCTTGTACAGCAAAGATCCCACTTTTTTTTTTTTCCACAGACCAATACAGTACAAAAAGCATGCAGCCATGAAAGTTGGCTTTGATATGACAAATCCTTTTGCTATATTGTTTTACAACAATCTGAGCACAACACTGAGAAGACTTTATACTCACTCACCTCAGACATACTTTATCTAACTATATTATAGCCATTTTCATACACACGTATGAAACAGTTTAGGCCAGGCTGGTATTGGTGAGCATAACTTTGAAAAGCACCAAACAGACTTGAAATGTGCAAACTTAATCAAAAATTTTTAATTTCCAATTAATTTTTGAAAATATTACTCCTTGTATCAACACATCATAAATATAAAGAGGCAACAGAGATTAATTAATAAAAACTAATTTAAATCCAATTTCTTTCTCCTACTGCTAACATCAAATAAAGTTAAGTCTTACGATATTCAAGCATACTTCACAGTACCGATCATGTACACACACGGCAGAATTATAGGACTTTGGAGTGATAGAACTGCTGCAGTTTGAGGCCAAAGTCCATAAATCGTTATTGTTTCTGCTTTCTGAAGTGGAAGATAAAGTTCTCAAACTGACAACTGCTCTGAATTATTGAGGTGTGTGGTACAACATACAGAGCTGTATATTGTTGTGAAAGTAGAAACTGATTTGAGACTTCACTTGGGACTTCGTTTTAGTATTATAATTTAATATGATGTCTGAATGAAAAACAGCTACTTTCAAATGAGGGAAAATGATTTTCGTAATATAAATTGATAGTAATATTGGTATATGTTTAGCATATACCAATCATATCAATAAATAAGCAAGCTTTCTGCCCTAATGAAAAGTTCTATAAATGTCTCCGTTAACTACCACATACCATTAACTAATCCAAAACAACTCATGTATTTACATGTACATGTATCATTGCATACACAACTCCTTCAATCGAAGTCAATTGTAAAATTCCAACTGACATTGACACAGGTAGTGTTCACTCTTCAGACATAGTTTTTACCTTCAGTTCAGGTATTACTGAATGTTAACAAGTGCTGTTCTGTGTTATTTTTTATTTATGAACTTGCACACCTTCCAACCCATTCACAGGACAGACACGTCACAAAAACACCGGGTTTTTCTGAAGGCTGCTCTTCCATCTAAGCATTTAGATTTAGACAGTAAACTAGTCCAAGATGAATTTAGGTTCTTATATTTGGACATACAATTTAGTGCAGAAAATAAGCATCCCAGCATATTCAATATTAAGAGAGACAGAGAACAAGTCAAGAGGACAAATGATCTGCCCATGAATGCTAATCTTTTTTTCAGCAATTTAATTGGAATTGCTTATGTGACAAAAGAGGAGTCTACATTTGACAAATAGCACAACGTGATTATAGGAAAGTATGTACCAATACAGCAAAGTTAGCATACTCTGCATTTTCACCTGATAGAGTGTAATATCTATGTATTCACAGAGTGTCTACAGTACTATGGAAAACAAAATGTCCCTTGTTCAATTTTCAAATACTTACTCTGCAAGTCAGGAAGCATTTAAATTATCATAGCCATAAGTTTAAAAAGCTACATTTAAAGAAATATCATTAAAAATATATTACACCTAAGGCAGCCAAAGCAGTCACAATGTTGTTTTTGTTTGATTAAACTCTAGACAAATATAAAAGAAAAGAACAAATAAAAGGAAAATGATTTTTATTTTAAGAATTGGAGAAAGCAAAATGTTTTTGACTTCTCTTTTAAGGCAAGTCATCATAAATAAAGCTTCAAGCTGTCACTTAGCATTCCTCATACATATTTCTACCTGAAGGAACAGAACCAAGAACTGATCAAGTTTCAGACCACATTTGTCTTATTCATATCTGGGAATTAAGTGAGTGTTTTAGTATGTAAAACCCTGGCAAGAATATCCACTTTTCTTCTGATGAATCAGTTTAGAGAAGCATCATACTTGGAGACTTCAGAAATTCATGAGCATGTGAATCACCCCATTCTCTAGTTGGCCTGAGGTTGGAAGGCACAAAGGGATTTTGTATCTTGAGTCCTCGATGCCAAACACAGACTCTCCTCTCAACAATAGTTTGTATTCATGGCTTCTATCATAACTTAGAGCATTCTCTACATGACATTTAAAACAGTGGCAGCTAGTTTGGGAGACAATAAGTCAATTCCTTGCATATGAATAACTGACACTGATTTCTGGGGTCAACAGTCCATCTGTCCCCCCAGCTTTTTATTTAAGAGGATTTTGTCAATAACCATACCAACTCTACAGCTTTATTTTTTCATCATATCACCTATGAAAGGCCTATGGAACATCAGGATTACAGTCTTGGTAAGTACTCAGTAACAGCCTAAAGTTTCACATGAAACAGGAATATACTGGAAGAGATGAGGTGGGGAATGAAGGGGGGGAAGGTTGGAGGTAGAGCAGCAGTAGGGAGACTGATCGCCGCCTACCATTAACACTAATAGGGCAATAACACTGAACATGACCTCAGCATGAACTGTATCTGCTCATAAATATTTTTTTTTTTAATATCTAGACTTTTTAAAAAATAATAAAACAATGAAGTACTTCAGCAGCAGTTCTTAGACAAATTTTAATATTTCTAGCAAGAACAGCTTGTAAGTGTACTGACTGAACAAGACACTAAATTTGCATTACTCATTATCCAACTCTCCTGGAATACAAACTTCTTCAGTAATTTAGTGTTTTTGATTTTGATTGGGAACATTTTGTGTAGGAACAAAATTTAAAGAAAAAAAGAAAAAGAGAGAATCTCAGAGTAGATTGTCAATAATTTGTAAGTATAATGCCTGTGGTAATAAAATTCCCCTATATGACTAACTAATAAAATAAAGAGAGATTGGGGCAATTACCAAAGTATTCTCTAAACATGGTATTAAAGTGCCATAACATAGCACTTTTATTCTGTATCACCCTACCCAAGTCAGACCTCACGCTCAGAGGGGAAAAAAAAAAAAAAAAAAAAAAAAGAAAAAACACCAAAGAAAACACACAGTCCTCTGATTTTAAGACAAAAGTAAGGAAAAAAAATGTTTTAGCAGGCAATACAATTTAGCAGTCTGCATTCCAAACTCTATCTTAATCAAGCTTTTGGACACACTACTAGCAATTTGCATCTTACACATTTTTCTGAAGATACAGAACCTCCAGAATACGGTCACCTCAAGGTGGATGTGGAGAGAAATATCACTTGTGGTCATGTTCACAGATTTGCATGCAAATTAATCTTAAACTAACACACGTCTTCTATAAAATATGCACAAACACATAAGCAT